GGGGTTGAACTTTTTACCTCCTAGCAAATGTTTCTATCAAGGGACATGGTGAAACTACTCCGTTAATAATGTGAAGAATAATAAAAATTTAAATACTTTTGATGAATTAACAAATAAAAAAATTAATTAAAGATATTTGAATAATTCTAAAGGAATATGACATTTTAAATATTATGACATCCTAACTTTTATATTTTTCTTTTCTTCAACCATTCCTCCTATTTTACGCAAACAATTTAAGGCTTTGAGCTCTCAAATCATGGAAAAAAAAAGGGGGGGAAATACTCTACTCTTTAGTCTATGTAGGAAATTTTTGTTCATGCTTTCGACGATCTGATTGACAGAGCCATCTGGATTCGGTGCGCCACGATGAGCTATCTGATCAAGGTCTTTATCGTTATTACAGTTTCAGCAGTAACACTTCTCCTCTGTCCTTGTCCCGTTCAGCACTTGTCGAGGATATGTGGTCTTGACACGGTTGCGAGCTATTGTTCCAATTTCAAATTACTGGTACCAAACTGGAATGATTTGATAGCGGATAAAAATCCTTTTTATTGCGAAGATTAAGCTTTGATTAGAACTTCAGTCTTCGGTTTCGGATTGAGGACTTTGCATTCATGGAGGAAGATTGAAGAGGACATGAGGTCCTCAATTATTTTTACAATTGGCTAGATTTTCTTCCAAGCAAGTTATGAGAAATAAACTATTGAAGGACCGAAGAGACTAATTAACATATTGGTCTTTGCCTATACTTTCTCATAGGGATCCATAATCCAATCCTCGATGTCACATTAATGACTAAAGAGAAGCAATGACTTGTTTATAATACGATGGCTGATTTTTATACCGTATTGTTAACGCTATCTTGAATTTTTCTTTGTGATTTGTTCCTGAATGTATTGTAGGTTAACTAACATAAATATTTCAAATGAATCAATAGATTTTGATAATTCTTGAACAACATTTCAATCTTTGTTAAGATCACAAAAGGAAAGAAAAATCAGGTGGCTGCTAAGATCTGAAAGAGAAGCGAGTTGAGAAGGGAGGCTTCCGCTGAGCCCTTGACTGCTAAGATCAAGGCATACAACATGGGGGAAGAAAGAAAAACTGAGGTTTCCAAATTTGTTGCCTACCTTGATATAATCAGGTGGCTGAATGATCGCAACCCTCCCATTAGCGTTGCATTTTACACCAGGCCAAGAACAACGATTTTCTGTGCTGTTGTAGCCACTCCACCATCCGGTCTCAAGCAAATTAAGCTCGTGCTTCTGATTCTGAAGGTACTGCTGCCTCTGCTAACATGTTTATTTCTCCAATGTGGTGAATAAGCGAGGTAAACCATGATGCTACCAAAATCAAAGTGGCCAAAATTGAGGAGACCATGTTATGCTAACTTTGTTTATGCAGTTGTTAAAAATTCAAGCCTAATTTCTGGAATTTGAAAGCTTGCTAAAACGTTAACACTGTAGTGAAAGTCTGGAGGATCTACTTGGCCATTGTTTTTATTTTTATATTATTAGACTATATTTTTTATTGGTCTATTTGGGCCATTCATCCCGTACAATGACCATTTCTTTGTTAAGAGGATGTGATCTGTGTCTACTTCTTCGTGAAAAGCATTGGTAACGAGTCAACGAGTAAAGACAAAATGTTTTCTTCAAAGTGAAAGTAAACTATATCAAGTTGGCTTGTTGAGGAGGGAAAATTATAATAATTATACTCCACATCTGATTTTGATGTTTGCAATTGCTTAGAGTCATGACTTTTCATCAAGATGAATTTTGAATTCTATTTTGAATTATGTTAAGATGTGAACATAATTATATTTAGAATTATTGTAAATATTTTATACTTTAGAATATTCTCTTTGTATACTTTATACCTTAGAATATTCTCTTTGTAAACACCTATATATAGGTCATTGTACATATGGTATAATTCAAGAAAGCAATAAACCTTTCTTCAGATATTTCTCCTTCTTTTCAGTTTCTAACAAATTAGAAGGAAACATGTGCTCTTTAAAAAGTTATATTTTCTTTCATAAAAACATTATAAATTAGAATTACATTTACCTGCATGAAATTTAATTCACGTTGTAATGAAATGTATTTTATACACTTTAATCTCTTTTAGTATTGATTTTGTTGCTATTTAGATGGGTAAATGTGATTTTCATTGAATTTTACATAATTTTTATTATATGTGCAGAAAAAAACTTGAATGCATAATAATAGAAGGTTTTGGACTTTGTTGAATACATTTGAAGGTTGAGTGACTACTATGAAAAGGAAGGTTGCTTTTAGGGACCAAAATGAATTTATTCCACGCTATAGGATCAAAGTGATCATTTTATAGAAACTAGAGGACTAAATCTGCTAGTTTACCATTGAAGAAATTGGATCAAAGTCCAAAAACCCGACACGGGTTTGGTATGGACACTACCTGGTAGGTGTTGACACTATGCCCCAAGACTTTGCAAATTAGTTGCCTGGCAAAATAAACAGAAAACCGGCACCCACTTTAGGGTGTTGACACTCTTGAGCACTTTCAGCTTTAAAAGTTTGAATTTTTGTCACAGGTCCTATTTTTATCCAATAAAATTTCTTAAACTCTATAAATATTTGTTTAAGACCAGACTTTAACAATTTTTGGAGACTAAAAAAGAGACAATAATGAAGAACTTTGTGTGAAAAGAAAATTAAGACTTTAGATTTTATTTTGCCAAATTAGTTTTACTTGGTTTTAGATTTTATTTTATAATATCAAATAATTTTATATTTATAATAAAGTGTTTATTTTTAATTATAAACTAATTTAACAATCTAAAGTTGTAATACAATCTAGTTAATTTGATATATAATGTTGTAATTTTCATATTTTTAAAATTTAGTATTTTATGTAGAGTGCATATATTTGTTCCTAATGTTATAATGAGAATAAATTTAGTGTAATTTGAGAAAATATATTAAATATATTAAAAAATCTTACTGTCATATGAAT